GCTGCTTTAATTGTACCGCCGCACTTGGTTTTGTGGATTCATTATGCCGTTATTATTTTTCATTGTGGGTTTATCATTTAGCACAAGTCAAAACCGATTAGTTTAATCCACTGGCATTCATTTAACGTGAGCCAAGGAAACTAATGAATGTTTTGTTTCGTTTCTGAAAATGAGAGTCAAAACGAGAGTCAAAACATATCAGGGTCAGGGATTCTTTTTTTTTTTTTTTTTTTTTTGGGGGGGGTTGTTCGTTCGGTCGTTTTTGTTTTTGTTTCGTTCTTATATTGGGGGGAGGGGTGATTAGTCAACGAACAATTGATCATTGATTGCTTTGGCTTTAAACACGATGTACTAAATTCAAGCAAATACCCAAATTGTCATAAAAATGTATTAATAATTTGGTAATTTCGCGATAATTTTGCAAGGATCGATTCGCCACCACAGAATTCTGTGTTCGCCACTGACCTGCTCAGTTCTATTTATAGCAGTGGCTTTTTCCCGGTGAGGCGTGACACCGGAAGTGCTAATGTTATTGATCTTTGATTCTTATCCTACTTTCCTTTTCGTGTAAACATGGCTGCTCAGGTGCAGTCTGCAGAGGGCAGTGACTGCAGGGATAGTAATGCCAAGTCTTTTATAGACGATATAGGGGTGCTGAGTTTAGAGGGTTTTGGCAGTCAAGGATCTCAGACATCTTCGAGGAATCCTCAGGATGGTATAAGTTCAAGTTTACCGTTGAGCTCTGTATATTTGGGTGAAACTGTCAGATACGAGATTGTCGTAAGTAAACACCCGTCTGTCAGAGAATCCAGTTCGTGGAAGAAACTTATCAGTACTATCTCCAGTCAAGCTGTCATTGTGCCTTTGCTCAGTAAGCAAGGTACGGATAGCACAGTCATATCTGAACGAGTGGAAAGAAAATCTGAAACCTGCGGCCCTGTGAAGGAATCTGGAACAGCAAGCAGGGTTGGAACGAAGAATTCATCTGTTGACAATCCAAATCCAACAAATAATGGACTTCTTTGCTCTGTTTTAGCTACGTTTGTTGGGAGCACTGGTTCTGTGTCATCATCTGAGGAAAAAGTAAGTGTTTCTACAACTAGACCTAACTAGATCTAATATGATCACTGAAGTGAAAAGACTAGGCTATTATTCACCATGGAAAGTTACACATTTCCATAAACCTTTATATTTTTTGTCATCTAGATCTAGAGATCTAGATATCTAGATCTATCTAGATTCTAGCTCTAGTTCTAGAACTTCCCCAATGGCTGTAAGGCTGATGTGATGCTCTATTTCAGCATTTAGAGAATATAGTGATCACTGGTCAATGTTTCAACGGGTAATTTGTGATACAGTTGAAAGTGTCTAAGACAGTCATCAATTCTTGAGGAGAAAAGTGGTTGTGCTTAGACAGGTGAATGCCTTACACAGTGTCATCAGAATGTAAAAAAGTGCAGTGAGAAAGTGTGAAGTGCCAATTTCAATATGTAGAGAGGTGATTGTCTTATACAGGTGGCCATTTTAGAGCAGGTTTGACTGAACTTGTATATTTTAGAGATAGGAGAACTTTTAGATTAGTTAATAATAAATTCCAAGTCAACATCAAGGTTAGATTTTTAAAAGTCAAACAAAAGCAAATTTCTATATTGTTTTGATGAAATGCTCTTTCTTTGCCTCAGGATTCCAGTATGTCACGACCATACTTCCGAGACGACGACACGTTTGTCGTGCCGATGTCTTCGAGTCTGCAAGACGCCCCGCCCGAGTGCTGCCGTATACGTCTAAGCGTCACGGTGTGGCTGTACACCGTCAGCGTCAGTACCTCGCCGACATCACCTGAGGTTGCCATGGAAATAGGGTCGACCCCACTTGGGTCAGATAGCACCAGTAAGTGGATGGGTTTATGTAGTGCATTTATAAAAATGGGCAAACGAGGAAGGGGTAGACCCAGAGCAACCTTCTTAGGGAACCTAAACAAATGGGTAACAGGGAGAGATCAGGGAAACATAGCTTTTTTAAGAGCATCCGAGCAAAGGAATGAATGGAGAACCATGATCTCTGATGTCTGTCACAGATCTGGCGCTGGATGATGATGATTTATTAAAATATGTGGCATTACATATACAGCTTTTGAGATGTAATGCGAGTATTTTTTTAAAAAACCTGTAGAGGAAAACTTTTTCAGTTGTTCATCTGGGAACAACATTTGGCTTTTTAAAAAAGAATTATTACTTCTTCCAAACATCATAGATATAAAGTATAAAGTGGAATACTTTTTTATTTTTATTATGTGCCTACTGTTTCAAATCTACCCCTATTTTAGGAACCAATATCTATAATAAACTTTACAGCTCTTTAATACTATTTCAATTAATAGTACCCTGTTTCTGAGTGGTGCTACATTTTTTATTACTTTATGCTACAGTAGAGTCCACTTATAACGAGTCCTGAAACAACGAGAAGTCTGTTATAAAGACACTATTCTAAAACCCCGTTTTTCTCCTTCTTTACCTTTGTAAATAAAATACTGCTATTGCGCAATCAGACCGTCATGCGAGTCGGTTAATACGGAATATTGCTGCTGCTGTGCACAGCGCACAGACCAATTTAACATTATTATAAAACCTTGCCAGTTGAGAAAGTTATCGGTGATCCAGCGAAACAAAGAATGGGAGAGCCCACACGAACTAACATTGAAGGCCGGAGCAACTGAGTAGGGAGGGTGTGGGATGCGCAGACACAAGCAGAACGCATCGTGTGATAGGCCAGACCAGTCTAGATTATCTAGGCATACCGTGCCTCTCACTTCTCTGGTGCGGGATGGAGGGGTCACAATACATGATAGATGGATGGAGTGAATGTGTGACGTGCACGAGCAGACACAACGCACCACAGTGTGTGGTGGGGTGGGGGACAACACAGCGGGCGAGTTAGCCTAGAGCCAGAGCCCCTTCTTTCTGATCGCCAAAGCCGATTTGTCAACATTGCTAGTGCTAGAGAAAGAAACCTGATTCGATTTTTGATAAAGTAAGACCTTGAGATCATGTTGAACAAATCACAATCAGGGGAAACACAAAAAGGAATAAACAGAACGCCAAACTCATAGATTAGGCCTACTTTACTATTTCCCTTGAATTTATTACTGGATCCCTTGTAACGAGAATCCTGCTATAACGGACATTTCGCACCGGTCCCCTCCCTCTCGTTATAACAGGAATTCACTGTATTTTCTTTTTGTCTGTTTGGACTATTGGATTAAAGTATGCAAATATAAGTCATTCATTTTTATCGAACTTTAAAAAAATGATGCCTGTTTCTAGTCATATGTATTCTTGTCCTAAAAAAAATTGTATACGTGTTATTTTTGTTTTGGTCGTTTCATCTTAAGCAGCAGCTACTGTTCCTTGCCCCACCACCAACGGACACCGGTCGGCCAGCGGTCAAGACCCAGTGATGGAGAGAGCTAATCTGGCCGACGGTCAGCCGTGTGGCAGTCTGAGCCTGGAGAGTCCCGTGCGAGTGTCCAGCAGCTTCCGGTCCGTCCAGGAGAAGACAGGTCCGTCTGTTTGCTTTACCCTATCTGTACACCCTGGGGTCTGTCTCTGTTTGCTTAATCCTTTCGTTGCATTATGACGTCCTTGGTATGTCATGAAAATGCGTAATTTTTAGCCCTGTGCCGAACCTGGTACGTCATGGAAGTTTTGCCCCTTTAGTCAATGTTTTTCAGTAAAATCCATACAGAAATGTATTTTTAGATGGACTTAAAAGTTATTGAGCCAAAAAGCAAAAATTCAATAAAAATTGCAAAACCGGCCGAAAAATGCTGTTTTCTTCAGTTTCATTACTTTGACAAGCGCCTGATTTCAACATTAAATCTTACATATTTTTGTGGTTGAATTATTAAATTTGAATTTCAGTGTTTCGCAGTACAGTATTGTCATCAAAACGAAATACTTCAAGGATAGAAGAATGACTCAATGATGGATGTATCCACATCATATGTATCTATACCATATGTATCCACACCACATGTATCCACATTACATGTATCCACACCACATGTATCTGCCCACAGTGAGCTGCCTGCTGCGTATCCAGGGACCCCCGGAGCTGACCTGTCGCCACACGGCCGCCGGACTCAAACATCTCCTCCTACTCTCAGGTCAGACGCCGGAGTGCGAGATTGATTGACATACGGTCATTGACATGACTGACACACAGTCTAGCATGCACATAGCAAAATCAGCGGGACATGGAACGCTTTTTGTTACATATGTATAAATGTTCATATGTACATGTCTTGAATACTAAAATTATAATGTGTATAAAATAAAATGTGGGGCGTTAAAATCTCTTTGCTATGTGCATGTTTCTCTATTTAAGTGTTTGCTATGTGCCTGCTAGACTGTAATTGTTTTCATGGGTTGAGGGTAAAGCGTTTGAAAAAAAAATCTGGAGCTATAACTAATGTTGCTTTAAAAAAGTAAGAACTTCACAGTTCGTTAATCATCATCATCATCAATGCCTTTCACCCCTGGCAGGGTAAAGGCCACATACAAGCTCCTTCCATTTATCTCTGTCCTGAGCCATCCTTCCAAGCTCGTTCCAAGTGAGCTTCATTTCTCTCATGTCCCTTTCCACGCATCTCCTCCATGTTTCCCGTGGCCTACCCCTGCCTCGTGCTCCCTGGGGGTTCCACTACAGTGACTGTCTTGTGATATTTCCGCTGGGCTTTCTTAAGGTGTGTCCCATCCATCGCCACTTTCTTAGTCCTATTTCTACTTCTATATCCTTTTGTCCTGTCCTTTCCCACAGCTCTTCATTTCTTATTCTATCCTGCCACTTAATTCTTAAAATACTCCTCATACATCTGTTGATGAAAGTCTGGACCTTATTCAGTACTGTCTTCATTGTCTTCCAAGTTTCGCAGCCGTAGAGGAGCACAGACTTGACGTTGGAGTTAAAAAGTCGAATCTTGGTGCGCAGTGAGATGTTGCTTGCTTTCCAGAGTTCGTTAATGCTGATCAGATAACCTTTTAGGGATAAAATACAGTAGGGAGGAAGGGGAAAAGAAATCATTTTTCTTTAGGGGGACGAAGAGAAGACTGGTGACAGAAAAAGGGAAGGGGAAGATAGATTGGATCGTCTCTTTGTGTACGGAGTTTGGTATTGCTCAATGCAACTGAAAGTGAAGCTCATGTGATGTCCTTTGAAGTTAATTTATTTAGTGATAATGACATAGTTTACTTTTCTTGTTATTTGTGGTAATAACATATTTCTCTTATTATTGTTGTTTAACATATTTCTTGTCTCATTTTTGTTTGTTTAGTAGCATTGTTTTGGGTGTTTTGTTGTTGTTCAGTTTGAGACATATTTCTGTTCTTTTTTATGTTTGTGTTAATAACCTGTTTCTTTTCTCTTTTTTAAAAGTATTTGTGTTCATAACTTATTTCTGTTCTTTCTTTGATGTGTGTGTTAATAACTTATTTCTGTTCTTTCTTTGATGTGTGTGTTAATAACTTATTTCGTTTCTCTTTTTTTAAACGTTTGGTTAATATATATACCTTGTTTCTGATTTTTTTTTTTTGTCGTTGTTTGTGTGAATACTCTCTAGTGGATCACTACCTTGTTGTGGTTAGAGAGCTTGTGTGCCTCAGTGACCCCAAGAGCTACGCTGGCTGGAGCTTATGCTCTTGGTAGGGCCACCCATGCCAGACAGGTCGACGGGTAGAGGTCAGATGAAGTGTGATCCACCGGCCCTCCAGGTTTCGGAGGTTCAGCTCAGGGCTAATAACCCAGACTGGTAAAAAGCATATGTTACGGAAACAGCAACAAAGAGAAACCATATTTCTGTGCGTGATGGACCTTCAGAGTCCCTTGGGACTCGTATGAATGCTGGCAGTGAAAGCCGCAAGGAAGCTGTTTGCAGGAAGATGGAGGACCTGAACACCGCAAAGACAAAAGTTATCATAGGACTGTGGAATGTAAGGACAATGTATGAAACTGGTGAGTTGACACAAGTAACGGCAGAGATGAGGAGATATGGATTGCACGTTCTGGGCATAAGTGAAAGTCACTGGACAGGATTCGGCAGGCTGAGAACAGAAACTGGAGAAACACTGATCTATTCCAGCAGAGAAGACATTGACAACCAACATAGGGAAGGTGTAGCCATCATCCTAAAAAGGGAACTTGAGAAATGCCTCATGGAGTGGAAACCGATCAACGGCAGAATGATGACACTGAGACTGAAGGGAAAGCACACCAACACAAGCATCATCCAATGTTACGCCCCTACTAACGACAGTGAAGATGAAAGCAAGGACTTTTTTATGAACAGCTACAGAAGGAATTGACAGTTATACCTCGTCACGACCTTATCGTTGTAATGGGCGATCTGAATGCTTAAGTAGGAGAGGACAACACCAACTATGAGAGAACGATTGGACAACATGGTACGGGTACAAGAAATGAGAACAGTGAAAGACTAGTGGACTTCTGCGCATTGAACAACTTGGTGATAGGTGGAACCCTCTTCCCACACCATATAATCCACAAACTGACCTGGAATTCTCCAAATGGCCGGGGCAAGAACCAGATTGACCGCCTTATGATAGGAGGAATGTGGAGACGTTCCCTACAGGATGTGAAAGTCAGAAGAGGAGTTAGTGATGGCAAGGATAAAACTCAAGCTGAAGAAAACATTCACCAGGGAGGCGACAAGGACGCGATTTGATGTTCACAAGCTCAGTGATGGCAATTTGAGATCTGCCTTCCGACTAGAACTAAAGAATCGATTTCAAACTCTCCGAGCTCTGGAAGAAACCATACCCAATACAGATGAAGTCAATACCCAATGGAAGCATATTGTTGAGGCCTACACAGAGAGCAGGAAGACATGTCTTGGTGTCAAGAAAAAGAATGCAAGCAAAGAATGGATACAGCAAGGAACTTGGAATACTATTGAAGAACGGAGAGAAATCAAGAAAAGACAACTTGCAGCTAAGTCGATACGGCTACAGGTGAAGTACGCAGAGGATTACAAGGAAGCTTGCCAGAAAGTTAAAAGACTGGTCAGGAAGGACGAAAGAGAAGCCATGGAAAAGTTGGCAACTGAGGCAGAGGAGGCAGCTGCTAAAGGTGAACAAGGCAACGTATACAAGATCACAAGAATAATATGTGGCAAGTACCACAGCGGAATGAGTGGCAAGCTGCTGACAATCGAGAAGGAACAAGAAGCACGCTGGGCAGAACACTTCAGGGCAGTCCTAAACCAACCTCCACCTGAGTTGGATCTGGACATCAGCTCTGACCCACCACAGAAACACGAGATTGTAAAAGCTGTTAAGAGCCTGAAATCAAGAAAATCTCCAGGAATGGACAACCTGAATGCTGAATTGTTTGAAGTAGACACAGAACTGACTGCCACCTTTCTTCAGCCACTATTCAAAACCATATGGGAGGGAGAGCAGATTCCCAAGGACTGGAGCACTGGAGTCATTGTTAAAGTACCAAAGAAAGGAGCTCTTAGAGACTGCAACAACTGGAGAGGTATCACATTGCTATCAGTTCCCAGCAAGATCCTGGCCAAGATTATTATTAACCGGATGTCTGATGCCGTGGACAGCTGCTTAAGAAAAGAACAAGCAGGATTCCGCTAAGAAAGAAGATGCACAGACCAGATATTTGCCCTCCGCAACAGAATAGAACAGTGCACGGAATGGCTTATGTCAACTTCGTTGATTTTGAAAAAGTATTCGACAGTGTGCATAGAGAAAGTCTTTGGTACTTTCTATGATATTATGGAATCCCTTGCAAGATAATAGAGGTCATCAAGAGCTTCTACCAAAACTTCAAGTGCGTTGTTGGAAACAGGACCACTGCTTTTGAGGTAAAGACAGGAGTTCTCTCTCTCTCTCTCTTCTGGCGCTGTGGCTTCATAAACGGTCAGCGATGCCGACAGCACGCAGGAACTCAACACTCGCCCGGGGGGTCCTTAAAAAGTGCTGAAAGTGGGTTACTGAAATGTCCCAGCAGACGGGTTCTAGCACGATAGCTGGTGGGACACCTCAGGAACACGTGGTCCATAGTTTCGTCCTCCTCCTTGCAGGCTCGACAGGACGGATCTGGGTTGTCTGCTGGCGCAATTTTGTGGAGATATGATCTCAGCTTGGGCGATTTTCCACCAGTTCTCATTTGGGAGAGAAGCCGGCGGTCCTGTCGTCTGAGCGAGGCCTCAAGCTGGAATGACGGCGGCTGGGCAAACGGCAGTTTGGGTTTCGCCTCTCTTTTCCACTTTGCGCGGGTCGATCGGTGGATAACGGCTTTAGCTGTCGAGAAATCGATTGGCGTGTCAATCTGGGTAAGCGCTGTTGCTTCTTTGGCGATGCTGTCAACTTCCTTGTTCCCAGCCAGTCCGGCGTGGCCTGGAATCCACTGTAAGTGGATGGAACATTCAGAGCGTTGACAGAGGGTGTGCAGATGTTGCCAGATTGAGCAGGCCACCTTTTCCGATTGGTTGGTAGGGCCGTATGAGAGGCGCATGACTGCTGATCTAGAATCAGTGTATACATGGATGCGTGCACTGTTCGGAAGGCTGCCTGCTGTATGTAGTGCCACAAGCATGTCAAGCGCTGTGTCGAGAGCTACAAGCTCGGCCCTGTAGCTGGAACAATACCGGCCCGCAGGTACACGTTGGTCGAGGATGCAACATGTCAGCAATTCTGTTCAACATGGCCATTGACTGGGTCATGAGGAAAACAACAGAGGATACATCAAGAGGCATAAGGTGGACTCTCTTCTCCACCCTCGAGGATCTTGACTTTGCCGACGACCTTGCACTACTCTCCCATACCAACGAGCACATGCAGGAAAAAACAAATCGACTCCACAAATACGGACGCCAGATTGGGTTGTGAATAAGCCAGAAGAAAACAGAAGTGATGACACTGAATGTAGGCTCCCCAACGCTGATTAGGGTGAACAACACAGACCTCCCTATAACAGACACATTTACCTACCTAGGCAGCATAATCAAAACTGACGACGGCACAAAGGAAGACATTATGAACAGACTCGGCAAGGCAAGATCTGTACACAGAAGCATGATCAACATCTGGAAGTCAGGACAGTTTAGTGTACAAACCAAGTTAAAGCTGTATAACAGCTGTGTACTATCCACACTCCTATATGTAGCTGAATGCTGGAGGATGACTGATCATGATTGTGCCAAGTTATCTTCCTTTCATACAACCAGCTTATGCCAAATACTCAGAATCTTCTGGCCCGACAAGATTTTCAACGAAGATCTGTTACGTAAATGTAAGCAAGAGGACATGACCACCATAATAAAAAGGAGAAGATGGAGATGGATTGGACATGTTCTGAGAAAAGAACCAGACTCTATTGTGAAGACTGCCCTCCACTGGACACCCGAAGGACGTCGAAAAAGGGGCAGACCCAAAGTGACCTGGAGACGCACAGTAGAGTCTGAAATGAAGTCCTGGAATCATTCGTGGGGAACGTTGACCAAGATGGCCCAAAACAGACAGAGCTGGAGATCCTTTGTTGCTGCCCTAAACGCCAGATGGCGTAATGGGTATTGAAGTGAAAAGTGTGAATAACTTGTTTCTTTTCTTTTCTCTTTCTTTTTTTGTTTGTGTTAATAACTTATTTTTGTTCTTTTTTTGATGTTTGTGTTGATAACTTTTTTTCTGATATTTTTATTGCTGCAGTGAGCAACAGCACCAGTGGTCAGATGGTAATCAAAAGCCTGCAGATATTGTCCAGCTCCACGCCCGTCCACGATGTGTCAGTCACCACAGACGATGGGTAGGTCGCGGAGACTTTGGCAAGTCGTAGACCAGATCTTTGGGTGGTTTGTGGGTGCTCTGGTGTGGTTTGTTCCTTCTTTCCTGTCAAACATCTAATGTCCTAGTCTCTCCTCCTTCTTTCCTATTGAACATCGATCGTCTTTATCTCTCCTCCTTCTTTCTTATCAAACATCTATTGATGGGTGGTTGGCGGGTGCTCTGGTGTGGTTTGCTCCTTCTTTCCTATCAAACATCTATCGTCCCTATCTCCCCTCCTTCTTTTTTGTGTTTGTTACTCTCTTGTAACACCTCTAATCTTCTGGCGCTCATATGATCTTATGCAGTTGCGACTGCTGTAAAACTCTTACTAAAACTAAACTAAACATCTATTGTCCTGATCTCTCCTTCTTTTTTGTGTTTGTTACTCTCTTATAACACATCTATTCTTCAGCACTTATATGACCTTATTGTGTTGCAAGTGCCGTAAAACTCTTTTCGAAAACTAAAAAGACCAGTCCTCTGGTCCATCGTGAATACGGTTGAAATTGTCTGGGCCGGCCACTCATTGTCGGAGAGGGAAGTGGTTGTCTTAGACACGTGGATGTCTTATACAGTGGCGTTATCATGTAAAAAAAACACAAGGGGAGAAATGGGAAAATGGGAAGTTGAAATTGAACTATGTTATGCATATCAAATGCTTTGATGCATTCGATAAGCTATTCTTGAAGCAAAGATAGAAGGCAAGAGAGGAAGAGGGAGACCTACCAGAGATGGGAAAGAGATTTAGAAACCTGGCTTGAAATTGTCTAGGTGAAGGTGAAGAGTGACTCTTAAACAGGTGGATGTGTTGCACAGTGTCATTATAATGTTGAAAAAAAACACAATGGGAGAAAATGGAAGTTAAAATTGAGCTCTGTTGTGCATATCAAATCTGCCCTGAGCTGACAAAACGCCATTTTTCAGTTTTGGCACCAAATTTTTTAATTTGCTAAATCGATAGCCTAATCAGTTACCTTACTTGAGTGGAAAAAAATATCAAAGCGAAACTGCGACTAGTTTTTGAATAAATTAGAGCTCAAATTTTAGAAGAACACCTCTTTTAAATATTTACGCTGATAAAACGCCTTTTTTATTGAAGTGCTGTGAAAAAGAAAAGGCGTTTTTGCCAGTGTATGGCAGAAATGCTATGATGCACTCGATAAACATATTCTTGAAGCAAAGGTAGCAGGCAAGAGAGGAAGGGGGAGACCTAACAAAAGATGGGAATGAGACGCAGAAACCTGGCTTTGAACCAAAACAACTTAGGAAAGCAGAATGGCAGGTGGCAGGGAGTGATTTAGTGCAGAAAGGTCAGAAACCTGGCTTTGAACCAAAACAACTTAGGAAAGCAGAATGGTACGTGCTACTGACTGAAGTGTCTTTAGGCCATTCCCAAAGGGTGGATATTAACATGTTCTTATGCTCAGTAGAATTGTAAATGGGCTGATTTATCAATGTCATACTCATAACTGTGCCTGAACTGTAACAGGGGACTGCTGCTTTTTCTTTCCTAATCCTTACTATCGTCATTTTCCCTCTACTTCTTTTGTATGTTTGTCACTTTCTTGTGACTGGCTATTTCCGGGGTGCCTTGATAGTCGAAGAAGACTTTATGCTGTTGAAACTAGAGAGGTGAGCAGAGTAAGCCTGATTCCCCGTATGGACTTCTCTGTAGACATCCACCACCTGGCGCTCATATGACCTTATGCAGTTGCGAGCGCCTTAAAACCTCTACTAAAACAAACAGCCACAGAGAAGGCTAAGAAGAAGAAGATTGGTTGGTTGTTTAACAGCTTTTTATCTATTGTTTTCTCCTTTATTCATTAATTTTTTTAACACGCTAAATAACTTACCATTCTTTTTCTTCTTAGCTTTTCCAGTAGTTGGACATTGTTTTATATCTTCTTGTCTGTGGGTGGTTGGCAGTTACTCTGTTGGGTTTGCTCCTTCTTTCCAATCATACATCTGTTGACCTTATCTCTCCTCCTATTCTTCATATGTTACTGTCTTGCAACCTCTGTAATCTTTAGTTCTTATATCACTAATATGTGTCACGTTGGATGAAATCAGGCGCTCATCAATTTTTGGACATAGGGAGTTATTAATATCATCTTACAGCTTGTTTATTTGTTTTGCATTTGGCAAAAAATGTACCCATCTATCTTGAATAGAAGTTGAGATATTTGCAATGGAATGTGTTGGGGGTCGCCTGGTATGAGAGGTAAAATTAGTGAGAAAATGGCTGCCAAAGTTTAGTGACTTCCAAAGCTCAAGTGTCATTGGAACCTTGGAATTTACATTTTTTGTGCCTTAATGAACCTTTTTCTGTAATATCCACCCAGGAATGCGTTTTAATCCTATCCGTACGTCATGTTTTACTATCGTATCCATAGGATGTGGGGAACTCTGTGCCACCACTTTCCAAAGAGGAAATTTACTTGTTAATCCGATCCGTACACTTTGCATAGCAGTCTGTCAAAATGATTTTTTGAGAAATACTGAAAGTTTCAAAGAGATCTTCTTACTAGAAATATTCTAAAATGTGAAGAATTCAATCCATGAGGATACAAAATGACCCCAGGGTGAATGGATAGGGTTAAAAGGACCTAATAGGTGTTTTAAAAAAAAAAATTTTTAGAAAAAAACTGCCCCGCACCCAGAAAAATGCCGGTTTCTTTTATTTCATTGTTTTGATGAATGCCTGATTTCCCCATGCTCCCTCACATTTGTGTTGCAAGTGCCATAAAACTCTGACTCCAGCTGAAACGTCTGCCTTTGCCCTCTCCTCCCCCAGGAGCTCTGTGAAGTGGGAACACTGCCATCAGCTGATCAGCCTAGAGAGCCCCAAACATCGACAAGCCTTCCCCGCCATCTTACAGCCAGGGGAGAGCTTCTGTCTCATTTATCGGCTACACCTGTCTTCTATACCGTCAGAGTCGGTCAGTTGGTCATACATTTGTTTGTTTGTTTGTTTGTTTCATTTATCGACTACACTTGTCTTCTATACCATCAGAGTCGGGTCAGTTGGTCACTGGGGGGAGGGGGTTGGAGAGCTCTGTCTCATTTAACATCTACACCTGTCTTCTATACCATCGGAGTCGGTCAGTTGGTCACTCGTTTGTTTGTTTGTTTGTCTGTCCGTCTCATTTATCGGCTGCACCTGTCTTCTATACCATCAGAGTCGGTCAGTTGGTCATACATTTGTTTGTTTGTTTGTTTGTCTGTTTCCTTGAGAAAGGCTCTTTACACTTTCCTTAATTCCCCCATTTGTGAGGCGTGCTGACTAAATGAGTTACTTCTTGCAATCCACGGCCAAAAGTCGTTAGTACATTTTCAATTGATGCCACGCTCTTTAGCTATAACCTGTCTTTTATTATTCCATACTTATGAATTGTTAAAACTCCACCTATAATGTTGATGTATCTATTTCCTTAAGGCAAAATCCGAGTTATTGTTTCCGATCCAAGAGGCAAAATCCGAGTTGTTGCTATTGATCCAGGAAGCAAAATCCGAGAAGTGACTCATTTTGTCTGCACACCTCACATTTGTGAATGGGTACCTGGCCTTACACAGCAAAAGATAATAATATTGTCGATATGTTACCATTTTAGTGCCTGTAAAATGACAGCTTGCATTGTATGCTTTCCAGGAAGTTGAGGTTGCTTCAGAATGCCATCAGGTCTGCTGGGGTAATAGTATAGATTGTACATCCTAGGGATGTCTTTTGTCTGATCTGTCGCTTGCACTTGTCTTAGACAGGTGGATGTCATTAGTATATTTTTTTTTAAAACCACAAGGGGGGAAGTGGTTGTTTGAATCTATACCTATAGGCCATTGTCTTGGGCAGGTTATCGTTGTAGGTGGTTGGCGGGTGCTCTGGTGTGGTTTGCTCCTTCTTTCCTATCAAACATCTATCGACCTGATCTCTCCTCTTTCTTTTTTGTGTTTGTTACTCTCTAGTAACACCTCTAATCTTTTCTGCACTTATATGACCTTATTGTGTTGCAAGTGCCATAAAACTTTTACTAAAACTAAAGACAGGTGGATATCATTATAATATTTTTTAAAAACCACAAGGGTGGAAGTAGTTGTTTGAATCTATACCTATAGGAGATTGTCTTGGGCAGGTTTCCGTTAGAGTAGGTTTGATTGTACCGTCAGAATGTGACGTGTGTCATTTTGTCGTGTTGCTACTACACTATTGGTTGAGACATGAGGTCCCCCTTTGTCCCCAGGAGCTGTCTCTGAGAGCCAACATCAAGTGGACACACGCCGGTGCCACCAGTGAACTCACAACTCTTTACAGGTAGCTCCCTCCTCCTCCTCCCTCCTC